ATGAGGTCCACAATGATCACATTCACAAATCAACGGTCAGCAATTCTATTAAAAATAACCTTCATCAATTTGGCGATTGGCGTTACTGGCTGGGACTTATTGCAGCCCAAGTTGCAGCCCACCAGTTGGCTTATTGGAAGAAAATCGAGCAAATCCCAAGCCATCTCACCCCCTTGTCCAAGGCACGAGGCAAATGCCTTAGCCACTCCATGTTATCCTTAAGCTCCACATGCACATCGCTGATGCAGTAGAAGGTGAGGCTGGCCTTCTCACCTTTCGACAGGCATCCCCAAATACAATAGCGCATCCTGACTTGAAGTCTGTCGTGCAATTCATTTGCAGCCAATGGCTTCTGAATGGTGTTGGTGCTATTTAACAAAATTGTGACTGTGCCAAGTCGGCATGCGAAGCGCCGACTTGTAAAGAAATAGGAACTGCAAACACATGCCGTGACTGACGAATTAGTGGGCTGTTCAGAAAACTATCCTCAATCCTTCTCTGGGGCAAGACAAAGGGTCTCCTTTGTAGTGGTGTTCGATTACAGATTCTTGAACATTGCACCGCCCCTGCATTCTGAGCGGGTCACAGAACATCAACCAGTCCTTCCATCTTGTCGCCCCGCAAACAGGCAACGCATGCCAAAGGCGGAAGATACGAGTCAAACAACGGAACATATCGATCAACAGGCGAACAAAACCAACAGATGTGCGCAGAGTCCTTGTGGAAGCAAGTTTGCGTGTGCAAGGCGCGCCACTTTGGTTGACACTACCCCCTAAATCAGCAAGTAATTAGAGGGTGGAATCCGCTGAACAATCTTGAGCCATGCTTGAGCCTCCATGAACCTCTGAACCATGAGTGATCTACCCATACTTAGTCGGGGGGGGGGGGGGGACTGACCGCACCTTTCAACGGTCAGAAGGAGAGTCCGAAACATGGATTTCAGAAGATTTCCACTAACCCCCGAACCACTACCCAGCACACAAAATCACTGGAGTAAGAAAGGGGCCCTGCGTCCCGGTAGTGTTTAGTTTAATAGTTTTGGTTGCCTAGGATTATGCTTGTCATTTCTTTGGTACTTTGCTTATGACTCCGAACTATTTATTTGGTGGAACAAACCAAGCCCATTTCTTAGGCCATAACGTGGCCAACATCTGGAGTACAACGAAATCGTGCTGTTCCGACTCGTTCCATATTTGTCAAGGATATTTTTCTACATATATATATATATGTATTATACCTACATGTGTAAACATATAATTCTCGGATACACCAGCTAAGATGCTTGGATCAAAGCAGCTGCTGAGTTAATTACTGTTTTGGACAATTGAGACAACATACACCAGGGTGAACCCAGACGACAGGATTGTGCCATCTGACCCCCAAGGGACGTTCATGAGCAGGTCGTAATGTTGACCCTGGATTAATCCCCTGTTTATTAATATAGAGGTGTGCCCGGTTTTGGTGGGGGTTTATGACTTTTGGAGGGGAACACCCCCATATTAATCAATAGGGGTGTATTAATCCGAGGTCAACAATTAGTAGCCCTCGGATCGATCGCAAGACGAGGCGCCCGTCACTGGCTCCGCAAAAGGTGGCGGCATCGCTGGGACGGCCAGGTCCTTGCCATGGAGTCTGGTGCCTTCGAAAAGCGGGGGAGGGAGCGTTCGGCAAAAGCGAAGAAACGTTTGGGGCGGGTGACCAACATAGCACTAGAAGCAGCCAGTGCCAAATGCATATGCTTACGTGTATATATACATATATATATATATATATCTATCTATCTATCTATCTATCTACATATATACATATGTATATGTATATATATATATCTACATATGGCGGCGTGCTTGACCCTGGGTGCAGCATAAACCCATGCCGTCAGGGCGCTGATCCAGCCCCTCTCCGGGCCCTCGCCGTAAAGCTTCCGGAACTTGAGACGACCGTGAACCAGCAGCTCCTCCTGAGCAATCAGGTGGTAGGGGCGATGGGGGAATCGAAGTGGATTGCCTGAATAGGTATGTCCTTGTTTTGAGTGTGCCCTTGTTGGGGCCGTTTTAAAGGAAAAGGGGGCACTTCCATGATTGGACATGAGGTACACCCCATTTTACAGATCTTAAGTTGAATCAAGATAAGAACAGCTTGCTGTGGTTGATTCAAAAGATAAAGTACACCGCACGTCGTCAAGTAAATGGTTGACGCACTCCTTTTAACCCTCGGGCAGCTTGAGCCAAACGCGGATGCGTTTGGAGGTTTGGTACCTTTGGAGAACTGAAACACATGACAACTACAAACTGTCATGGTTGCAAAAAGAATGAACCTCATGAATGGAAGCTTTGCTTAACCATGGGTTCTTGAATATGTGAAACGGTGGACAGACAACGTCTACCCTACACATGACGATTCCTCCTAGCAAACTTCACTCAAGGAGTTCCTTCTCAGCTAAGCATGCCACATGAAGGCTACTGGCCAAACATGTCTTGGAAGTGGTGGTGCTTCATTGGCATCTCACCCTGTCAAACATGCATAATGCTCAGTATTCTTCAACTTCTTACAGGCTTACAGGAAAGGCAAGCAGATCCCCAACAACATGTTGAATCCAAACAGATCGAGGCCTGTGTCCTCGTGCAGATCTTTTGGTTTGCGTGCGCAGCAAAACCATTGCATTGTTGCCCTTGCTGTGCGACAAAATCATAAGGATCCTCTCAAACAGCATGTCTTTCGGCGGCGTTCAAAGTTGGGTTCCTGTCCTTATGACTACTTTTCACCTATATTGGATTTTCTTGGGCACTTTAAAGTTTCACCTCCTGCAAAGTAACATGGCACCCAACATGGGTCCCCTGACCAAGTTTCCTGTAGAAATAAATGATGAGTACGACATGAGCCCGAAATGGATACCTGAAAACTCAAATGGCTCAAGACGTCACTCAACAAGACCCTATCATGACCCCGCAAAGCAACCATTCCACATTTGACTAGGGAATCCCTTATTGGAGGCCTTTATTTTGCCCGGGGAGGGGGGAGGGGGCACTCATGACCCCATGGTGCATCTTCCAGGCCAAAACGAGGCCCGCCGCTTCGGCCTGCACAACGGCGCCGTACTCCAAGCGATCCAGGATATCTGAGGACCTGAGCCAACGAGGAATTGGTGCGAATGGCTTGGAGTATCCCGATCTTCGAGACTTGGGATGGATGTGCAGCAATTACAAATTCAGGACCAATGTGGTCGAATCACACATCGAAGTTGAAAAGATTCCCGACAGCCACTGTAGTGCTATATGCAAGACCCTGTGCCACAATAAATCCCTACAAATATCATCTTTGTCAGGATGAACAGGGTCTAGCCAACACAACGCGCCGCAACTAAACACATGGCCGTGGCTCAAAAAACCGGTGCCAAAATGGAACCCCGGTAAGTGGAAACATGGACCAAAACCTGAGTAATAACCCCTCCTGTTTAATTTTGAGCCACACCCACATGGTTGGCCATGAAAAGCAAACAAACCTTGCTCGGTGTGACTTTCTCACCGAGGCGCAGCTCCTCGCCCTCCCGCACGATGATGCCCCCCTTTCCCGCGCCGCCAGTGACCACCCAAATCCTCAGCCACAGACAAGGCTCCAGAATCAGGTGTCCCCCGAACATGTCGCATTTGGGTAAGCCTCGTCTCAAGTGGATCGCATTTGGCACACTCACCAGAAATATATTCTCAGAAACGTGGCTTACCACATATCGCGGTTGCCGTGCCCCTGGGATGTCCAGCTTTTGCACCCAGCAAGTTGTCTGAGCATTGGCCGAACGGGCGATGTTCAAGAAACCATGGAGGTGTCCATCTAAAAGTAAAAAATCCCCCCAAAAAAGCCTATTAGTAAGGGTGTTTTTTTTGTTCGGGGTGGACATTGCAGGATCGAATAATGTTCCTAAGTCGAGATTGTGCTGTCTTGCCATACTTGCACAGTCTGCTGGACTTCTAAGCCATCTTCGCTTTAGATTCGAAACTAAAAGGTGATGATTGAAACCATCCTTCAGCTCGGCCACACATCTTCAATACACAGAAAGTTATGTCTTCAAATAACACGTCATGTTTAGCATACCCCAGCAAGACATATACAAATATAACAAGTTTGAGAGACCTCACTTGAAACGAAATCGAGCAGGAGCCCCGACATATTTCCTATACATACGAGTGCGCATGAGGGCCTAGCCCGTCCAACGACGCCATTCCATGGGCCCGGACGGATGATGGAAAATGAGTGACGTGTCTGGTGAGCTGTCTGCGCTGCCCCACGCCTAGGATTTAAGTATTTCCGTTTGCATCAGTGCAGTCAAGGGTAGAAATTAGACGTCAAATAGTCCTACCAGTTGACTCAGCAATGGCCAGGGCAAGCAGGGATTAGTTAGGCTCAGCCCGTTGGTTTGAGAAACAAGGTGGACTCTGGAAGGGATGGATTTCCACAAAATGAGCACGCCACAGGTTTCTGTGCATAACATCCGCGAGTGTGCACTGGCACAATTTGAAGGCACAAGCCGCATCAGGATTACTATGTTGAGATTGAAGCGGCTGCAGCAACTGGGGCGGTATGTGCGCGCGCAACCGCTCCCAACGTTTGCTGCCAGGGCGAGCCGTTGACAGTGGATATGCTTTGCACAACTCAAACAAGTCAGCGTCGAGTGTGGCACTTGTTTAGAACAGTTAGCGCCCAATAATATTCTCCCAGTTGCTCGTTCGAGCCTAGCCGCAAGGGCCGCACTTACGCCAGACTGATGGCAATGACACCACCAAAGCACCCACACACTTTGGCTGTGCAATTGCCAGGGATCACCTGGAGGGATCAAAGGCGTTATTCCCCTGTATTAACATCGGTGTGAACCCTTGGTTTGCGGTTTTTTTGTTTTTGGCTTTGTTAGAGAGACAACACAGGGCTCAAAACAAAAAGGACGCACAAGTATAGGGAATGTCAAAGCCGTTTGCCTTTCAACAGAAGAAACCAGATGTCGGCGTGGCCTTCAGGCGCTTCCTGCTGCAGCGCCCGTCCACCGGTATGCCCTGACCTGATGGGACGGTCGCAGTGGTGAGAGTTTGTCCAGCCGGTTTTGCAACAATAAAATGATTGATTACAATTCTTTTCGCGCCTTAAACATTTCAACACGACTTCAACAGGTCCCAACATGGCTCCCTCTGTGGAACCTAAAGGATGCCCGCTGGATTGGACTATGGAAGGCCAAGTCCTTCCTCAGTCCCGTTGGAAGGGTGACACGTTCCTATGTGGCCCGCGATTGTTGCAAAAGAAGGTGAATCTACATCGAGTAATACACCCCGTATCTTCATTGGTACCGCATTTAGGGTGATTCATCGTTGGCTAGGGCACAAAGATATGGATGTCTTTTTAGGAGGGTGCCTTTTTGGGGATGTTTCAAAGGCAAACCAAAGGGAAACAATGTATTTTGGAGGGTTGCTGAAAAACTTGCTGGTTCTCAGCGGTTTCCTTTCAGGGAATCCCCTTCTGGTTTATTCCTCAACACCTTGGTCATTCCCTACCTATTGCACCAGCAAAAAACAAACCCATTTCCTTTGAACGGATGTTCCTTCCTGAGCTTTCAGGTGTAGATCTTGCAACGCATCAGGAAGACAACCAGAAAAAAACCGTTGACCGCAAAGAAATCGAATACTAAGAGTACCCAGCCCAGCAACAAGCGTTCCCAGCGCTTCCCGTTCTGGTGATTGTCCACATCACCTTTTTGGAAGGCGACCTTGGTGGGGGTGCCGATTTGGGGAAAATATAAAGGTACGCCTAGCGGACATGGGGCCCCGCATCTGTTCGGGCATCCGAGACCACTGCCAACAAGGAAGCCGATGAGCAGCACGGAGCCTGCCCTAGGCCGAGGTCCCGCGGCGAGCTCGCTCGGCAAGGCGTTTTGTGGCAAGGGTATGCGGCAGAACGGGGGGGAGGAAACGTAATTTCTCCTTTTGGCTTCCTTTTTGACCAAGGTGATAAGGGCGCGTGCCCGCAATAAAAACGTGCGCAGCCACAGGCTGGTAGCTGGGAGCTGCGCCCCAAGGCTTATTCGCGTTGCTTCTTCCGAGCGCCGCGCTGGCTGCAAAATGATTAGTTTCGAAAACAGGCGGCCAGGCGCGCGTCTTTACTTGCCCAAGCCTTCTCGAAACAAGGGGGGCCGTCTCCAACCAAGGGGCCGCGTCGTTGGCAGCTTTGTAAACATTTGCGCAAGTTCCTCTTTAGCAGACGCGCGTTTGCAAAGAGCCATGCCGCGCCACGATTGCAAAACTCGCTGGCTCCCGAAGGCCGACCATACGTTGAGCTGGCAAGAGGTGGTCGCAACAGTGCTGAGTGTTCAGCACCGGCCGCAACAACATGCCGGCTGGATTGCTGTCAAGCGCATTGAGTAGAAGTCCGAAGGGTAGCCTGCAGACGATTGGTCTGCGTCCCAAATGAAGAACCTGTTGCTTCCCGATCCTTCGCAACTGTCACACCTGACATTTGGAAGCCTACTTGCCCAGACTCAGCCTCCTGGAAACATGTGTGGACTGGTCAACAGGGAACAGTGGACACCCAAGCAGTACACGTGCAACAAATAGTGCACCCGCCACATTAAACCCCCGAAATTTTAGGTTCGAACTCTACATCCCACACTGGTTCTGCTTGAACTCCAATTTCCGCCTGGAAAACAGACAATCAGCGTTTTGCATAGGCAAAACACACATTTACAACACGAGTTGAACCCCAGACTTCTTGTTCGTTCACTTCACGTGCAAACGCAAGTCAGCCCAGCTGGAAAACAAGGCTTCAAAGCTTGTGTTTCACCTAAGTGGTGATTTTCAAATATCAAAGTGAGTGCATTGTTTCGAGTACCGTGTTTGCCACCATAGAGTTTCTATCAATCACGTCCCATCCAAGCTCTCCCCGGCTGCATTTTGGCAGTCCCAACAAACTGGTGGTTGAGTGCGCAAGAAGAAGAAATAAGCAAACATCATAAGCATCCAAACAGCAAGAGACGCACGTTCAAAAGAGGCGGACATGACTGGGTTGCGTGACGTGTTTCTCCAGCTGTCAAATCTAAGCGAGCAAGACGACAACAAACTCAGCGGCAGCCAAATGGGGAAGCTTTGGCGAGCGTGCTGCCAACAGGCGGCAGAGGATCCGCGCCACACCTCCCAGACAATGCCAAGAAAAGTGACCAAGCTAGTGACATTCAGCGGCCACCTACCAGGCAAGCAGCCGCGTGCGTCCAAGCTAAACCCAAAAAAAGTTCGGCCGGCAAGGTGCCCAAGCTAATCAACTACGTAGATGCCACAGGTCCACAGGAAAAATCACGATGCAATTGACCCCCCACCTCCCAGCCCCCACCCCCCGTAAGGAAAACAACGTCACTCCGACAATAACCGTGAAGAATGGAGAATTCGCCGCGGCCGTCCACGACCAACTACACCAACGAAATTGTCTGGCGCGGAACTCTGCGGACACATGACTTCGCCATGACTTTGCAAGTCAGGCAAAAGGAACAAGTTGCTATGTGGGGACAAAAGGTAAGAGAAAGCAGCTGTGTTATTGGACAGCGCTTCACCCTGAACTTGGAATTCTGTAAGGTTTATCTTGACATTGTTTTCTTAAAGCCATGACGAGGAAGCTTGTTTGGAAATGATGGCTTGCAACACTGCTGCGAAATGGCCTTGGTTCAGATTCCAAGCAAAGCTTCCAGCCATCAAAGGGACTTCCCAACCTGCGAGCAACCGGACAAAACGCATAACACGGTGCCGGACAAACCACTTGGTCATGTGCTGTCTGACACTGCCAAAACAACTCCTAGGAGTAAAGCCGACGAAGCCAGCCCTTTGGACTTTATGGCCAATCCACATAGGAAGTGAAGCGGCGTGGCTCTGCAATTGGATCAGGGTCTTGCAGTTTGTGTGGAAGGCTTCTGTCTCAAATGAGGATGTGTTGCATCTTTCGGCGCTCATAGTTATCCAAGCCCCTTCAAAGCGGGACTCAAGATTGGATGTGACATGTGCGGTAGGGGGTTGACTGGCAGAGCTTACGGGGCTAAATAAGTACCAGCATCCCGATTCTCATTATCTGAAAGAAGCTTAGCAAGAACTTCCGCACTGGACGCTGTCTCAGGCTGTCTCTTTTTTGAGAAGTATCTACGCGTGACAAGACAAGCTGAAAGCTTGGCTTGGAAGTGAGCTGAGGATCTGCAAAATTGAATGCAGCATGCGCAGGAAGGGCCATCGAACAATGAGTTGGCTGCAAACCTTGCGCAGCCCAAGGCTCAACGATAGCACAAGGGAAGGAGTGCTGGAAAGCGGCTCAAATTTGGCGGAGACGAGTTGTTGCCCCGAACACCCCCCGCCCTCCCGGTAAAGAGATGACATGACGGTCTCGCAATTCCCTGGGTCTAATCCGGCAAAAGGGAGAGTTGTTAAATATAATTAGACATAGAACTATGTTCAAGGCCAGTGTCTGGTAACGTAGTGAAATGTGAACCGAACTATGGAAAGCGTTGGGCAAGCGAGGACTTGCGTTTGTTTCTGCAGAATGAACAGGTGCGATAAAATACGTGTCGAAAACCAGGCTTTTGACAATGCAGTTGGAGGGCCGTCCTGAATTCAAAAAGAGTAGGCAAGCCTTTAGTTGGTATTCAAAGCGCAGCCAAAAGGACATCGACAAACCTCTTGGATCGCTTGAGAAACACCGCAACTGCGGAAGCCGTAGCAGTTGATACAACATCATTCCACCCAGACCAAACACGTTTGTCAATATGTTTGGCCTCTCGATCCCTAGTGCGGCCTGCACATGCCACCTTTTTGAGGATCCCAAAAAGGGCCCCTTGTGACAATGTGACAACCGTGTCTTGCTCTGGATTGTATTGCACTATACTATGGTTCCTTCAGTCGCACTGTTTGTGGCACTCCCATGCCGGACACAGCGCGATACGTTCGACCGTCAAAACAAAAAGGCTAAAGTTGAACAATCAGAAAATCACGAATGCCCCAAAAGGAGATGGTGTCCAGAATCATGCAAACAACAAACACGGATTGCACGACGAATGTGCCAAAAACAAAGGACTGCAACCAAGCGGACACTGCGCTGGGCATCGCCGGTCGAAGCACACGTCTGAGCTCAGCACGCAGCAGCCCGGTGCAACAACTCCACGCCATCGCCTGCATAATTATTAATTATGTTGGGCACGCAAGTCTGCGCTTGTAAGGCTGTGCCGCGTACTGATCGGCGACCATAAACTGGACATTGGCAAAGACGGAATGCCACAAGGGGTCAGGGGCCCCTGGATTTTCCACGTAAGCAAGTTGCAATGCTTCCAACAAACCAGCCACTTTAGAGGTCTAACAAAGGGAAATTGATGGGCACTTGTAGTTTGTTTTTCCAACATCTTTTGCGCAACCCTGGCCGCAGGCCTTCTTCGTCTTCGGCTTCCTGCGAGGCAACCGCCCGAAAGATTGCAAATCACAAAGCAAAAAACAAGTCTGCAACCCCACGAGGCATGCATTTGGCACGCAACCGCTGCAAACTCTAGTATGTCACATCCAGCGGAACAAAACATATTACTTTGGGAAAACACTCGTTATTTGAAGAAATCCCAGAGGGTCCCGTGGGATTGACTTGGGGAGTTCTCAAAATGCCCCCCTTTGTCGGCAACAGAAACCATCAAAATCGCAGTAGGGTTCTCTACACAAAACAACTACACTGAGAATAATACTTGAGCCAAGCCAAGCCACATGGCTAGAAAAGAGGAATGCTTCTGTCCATGCAATTAGCTTTCTTGGCACGCGCGTTCGACCGTCCTGAAGCCTATGGAGCTTGGGGAAATGACCGGAGCCAGTTCAGCAGGCATCGGCAAGGCGCGAGCGCAAGCCGCCAACGGTGGGGCTTTTGCTGACAAGGGCCACAAGCAGGGTAGGGAAATTCCAGGCTTTTCACCTGTTGAGTCAGTTGCTGGGCAAAGACATCCACGCAAATGAACATGAGACCCCCAGACAATGGGTTCCATGTTCATTAATCTGGAGGGGTGTAGAAAGGGCAAACATTCTCCATCACCAGCTCCGCACCGCCCGTAGAAACAAACTCCATCCCTCACGTGCCTCTTGCCCCTCTGCGGCCATGTCCACATCTTGACCTCAGAAAGCGCAAGAGTCACCTGTGCCTACAAGCAAAGCCTCATATCACAGAAACAACGGCCACAACGTCACGGCTGTGTCCCTAATGTCAGGGAGGCCCTTTTGAAGGGTACTAGCAAAGGGTCTTTTGCATCTGCGCTTCGCAAAGGGCCACACGGGGGCTGCCCATTCCAAGAAAGACCCTGCGCAAAAACTGGAGGTCATCCCGGGGAAAGGGCTGCGCAAAAGCTAGCAGATTCCCTGGTTACTTAGGGAAACAGCAGACTTGGGTGTGCCCAAGAATCAAAATGTGTTGTGTGTTGTTGGTTTGTTTGTTTGTTTGTTTTGGTTGGTTGTTTGATTGTTGTTTGTTTGATTGATTTATTGTTTGTTTATATTGTTTTCTTGTTTGTTTGTTCGCGTGTTTGTTTGTTTGATTGTTTGTTTGTTTGTTTGATTGATTTGTGTTTGCTTTCTCTTGCTTGTTTGCTTATTTGTTTGCGCGTTTGCTTCTTTGTTTGCTTGTTGTTTGTTCGTTCGTTCGTTCGTTCGTGTGTTCGCTTGTTTGCTTGTTTGCTTGTTTGTGTGTTTGTTTGTTTGTTTGTTTGTTTGCTTGCTTGCTTGCTTGCTTGCTGTTTGTGTGTGTTTGTTCGCTTTGTGTGTTTGCTTATTTGTATGCTTGTTTGTTTGATTGTTTGTTTGATTGTTTGGTTGTTTATTTGTTTGTTTGTTGGTTGGTTTGCTTGTTTGTTGGCTTGACTGTTTGCTTGTTCGTTTGTTCGTTTTGTGTTTGTCTGTTTCTTTGTTTCTTTGTTTCTTTGATTGTTTGTTTGTTTGCTTGGTTCTTTGGTTGGTTGCTAGTTTGTTTTGTGTTTGTCTTTTGTTTGTTGGTTTGTGTGTTTGTTTGATTAGTTGGTTGATTGTTAGTTTGTGTTGTGTTTGATTGTTTGTTTGTTTGTCTGATTCTTTGGTTGGTGGTTTGTTTGTTGGTTCGTGTGTTTGTTTGTTTGTTTGTTTGATTGTTTGTTTGCTGGTTGGTTGGTTTGTTTGATTGATTGCTCGCTTGATTGTTTGTTTGTTTTGTTTGGTTGTTTGGTTGTTTTGTGTGGTTGGTTGCTTGTTTGTGTGCTTGCGTGCTTGCTTGTTTGCTTGTTTGTTTGTTTGTTTGTCTGTTTGTTTGCTTGTTTGTTTGTTTGTTTGTTTGATTGTTGTTTGTTTGTCCGATTGCTTGTTTGTTTATATTGTTTTCTTGTTTGTTTGTTCGCGTGTCTATTTGTTTGTTTGCTTGGTTGTTGTTTGTTTATTTGTTTGTTTTCTGTTTGCTTTCTTTTGCGTGTGTTCTTCTTTGAGTGTTTGTTTGTTTGGTTGATTGTTTTGTGCGTGTGTTTGTTTGTTGGTTTGTTTGTGTGTGTGTGTGTGTGTTTGTTTGTTTGTTTGTCTGTTTGTTTGATTGTTTATTTGTTTGTTTGATTATTTGGATGGTTGTTAGTTGTTTTTTTGTGTGTGTGTTTGATTGTTTGTTTGTCTGTTTGTTTGATCGTTCTTGTTTTTAGGTTGTTTTGTGTTTATTTGTGTGTTTGTTTTGTGTGTTGGTTTATGTGGTTGATTGTTTGTTTGCTTGTGCATTTCTTTGTGTTTGTCTGTGTTTGCTTATGTGCGTGCTTTGTTTAAGGCCTACATTGTGATTTTTACAATCCCCGTGAAACCAGGTATTAGAACCACCTTCCAGAAATGGCCAATTGGGAATGTGGGACAAACGTCGACCCGTAAAAAGTGAGCTCTTGGACGGTGGAAAGGAACATACAAAAACACGGAAACATGTCAGCTCTTGGTCGGCTTTGTCAGGACCGTTGAAAGGAACATCTGGTCGAAAGGAACAGAGCATCAAACAAAAACATGGGAGTTATGGGGAAACCGTTTGAACCAACAAAAAAAGCATAGCCATAAAACAAAAAAACCTGCGCAGTTCGGGGCCCGAAGCCAAGCGCTTCCGCCAGGAACTGGACGTAGCGCTGGAACTTGGGCCTAACCGGGAGAGTCGTCAAATAAACGGAGCCACAAGACGGTTTGCACACATCCTGAGTAGATGGGCCAAAAAAGGTCCAAACGTTTTATTTCCCAACAAGGTCTTCCGGAACTCGGGGAAGTGAGCATTCAAATGTTTCGCGTCTCATGGACCACCCCAATAGGGGGTTCCATGTCAGTTGGGGGAAGGGCTGGGAAGACATGCCAATCTTCAAAGCTTGAGATTTTCGAGACAGCGCGGCTTCGAGGGTGGCCTTCTCCTCAACCGAAGACAAAGTCCGCTTTCACACCCCCACGGAAGGCCAAGGTTTCCCTATCAGTCAACGGCTGCTGTGGTCAACTAGGCGTAGCAGGGCTTCACAGGTTTCCACTTCTGGAGCTATGGCATCTGTTTGCCCCTCTCCAGGCCTGCGGCCCAGCTAGGTCAAACCCGTGCCATAGGTCTAGCAACGTTGGGACGTTTTCATGGCGCTCTTTGATGGCACGGGCATAAGTCAAGGTCTGAACCCTTGACATCACTTGCAGGCGTCTTAGTCCATGTTTCAAGCTGTCCCAAAAGAGAGTCCCGACTGGGAACCCACAGGCACATTGCCACGACGTGCTGTTGATGAGGTACAAACCGCCATCACACATTGCTGAACTTGCGGCGCGGAAAAAGGACTTGCTGAGTGAGCATGACTACAAGGCTAAGGAGTTGACTGAGGTTTTGGGGAAGTAGCAGGCCAGCAAAAATATCATAGGGGCATTTCAAGTGTCTGCTGGCCCTAAAACTGTGAAAACTCCGACCCTTTGGTTCCGCATGGTCACTTTGCACGCCCCGTGCGGGAACCGGTCGCCAAGGGCTTGTCCTTTTATCTTCAGGGAACAGAATCAAGAACCACAACAAGTAACGGGCGAAATACCGGAACAAAGGCCCTTCAAATTGGTCGTCCTCACTTGGCGGTGTGACCCTTTCTTGGGTATCCCTTTAACCAGATCAGCTCTGGCACGAAGGCGAGGCGAAGCGCAATCCCGAGCGAAAATGAGCAGATCCCTAAACACACATTGATCAGGTGCCCGCTTGCACGGAGTCCCATCCTTCGACTGTCTACTGCCAATGAAATCAGAGCAAGAGGCTTGGGACCTTGTTTGGTCGGAGCAACGTGTGTTACAAATGACTCGACACGACTGCACGACATCTAACTGTTTCCTAAACGGGAAAAGACATGTTAGACTTAGTGGCTTTGCCTCTCTACAAACACATTATTCGCTTGTCTCATGAGTGAGCCCGCAGGGTAAATAAGTCAAGCCCTTATGGCACCCCGAAACGAAGACACACCCATGACCCATGGACCCAGTCCGCCTTGTCAAGAGCTCCAGGGGCGCAAAAGGCCCAGTGAGCCTTGGAAGATTTCTCCGTCCACAACCCAATGTAAGGGGAATCGTGTCAAATATGTGGGCGTGGCTTTTTGAGGCTTGGTACCGTTTTTTTTTTGTGGTTTAAAGGGAAGCCAAAAAGAAAACCATTGTTGGTCATTTGAATCTGACCCCCATCTGGAATCAAAACCACTTGGACTCCTCCCAAACTTGAACACCCCTTGACGACAAACACACCCACACCAACCGTCATCTGGAGCCCTTCCCTTCCTGCAAAATGACAACACCTCGCGGCACATGGAAACGGACGCATGCCTGTCACGGATCAGAGGCATGCCCAGACCCACAGATGTATCGCACTTTCATGGATGCCATCCAAGCTAACGAGTTAGCCATTTGAGGGGAGTGCAAAATGAAAGGGTCCCAATGCTAGACCTTCATGCTATTTGTGTGTGTGCGTGTCTCCAATTGTCATGCGGTCGCAAAACCGTCAAAACTTTGCGCCAATCCTTGGGAAGAGCATCCGACGCCACACACAGTTACAGGGCAGGGAGCCCAAGAAGTAAAACCTACTCTGTTTGCCCCCGACCCAAAAAGTGTTGCTGTCTATTAGCAGTGAAAAACGCAGATTCCTAAAACGTTGAAGGCTAAAGATTTAACCAAATAGTCAATAGCAAAGAAGCCTGGAGATGAAAAGTCGTGACTCGCCTTAGTGGCTGCAGCCCAGCTTTGGTGGGGTCGCCCATGTGAGACAATCAACTAGTTGACACAACTCACGGCTTTCCTCAAGCAAGCATTATGGCTCAAGGTGAAACCAATAGGTTGCTCGTTGTGGTGGCTGCAACAGCTGGAAGTCTTTCATCAACCAACTTTGGGCTCAAAAGTAACGCCAAACGCCCGCCTTCATCAACTAGCAATGCTTCCGGTCACAAATATCCCTAAGGGTGCAAGTAACTTTTACAGAGGTACCTCGATCCATTTCAATCCTAAACAATCTTCAAGGGGTACTTGGACCCTCTTACTTGAGTATAGTAATCAGAGCTTATTATGGGTTCTCTAGTTTCCCTGGCACCTGGGAAAAGTCGGCACTGCATGCTGCTGAAGATGACTCGATGGAAAGGCTTCGTGTCGCACGCTTTCAAGTGGAAACTACGTAAGCAAACACGCTATTGAGAAGGGGGGAACTAAGGGCTACCCTCTCCATCAGGACGGTTTTGGAAGACTAGAATTCTATCATGGGTTAAACATGCCTCTACTGTGGTTGACCAAAACTTTGCACCAGTTGGGATAATTGAGCTCTTAATACTGGAATAAATCACCTACCCAGTGGGGCGAAGTGGATTGTGTCCACAGAAGGAAGTTTGAAAACAAATGCAGCTTGGCGATCTGCTTTTGGTTTCCTTTGCAGGGCAACCAAACCTGATGGAGTAATTCAACATCCACCCTGAGCATCATTGGACTGTCCTTTGCAGGGGTCAAGACCTTCATTGAAAGGGTTTGAACCAAAGGGAGATTGTTTGAGCATTTTGGGGACCCGCTCCTTGACCTGCGCTCATGCCAAGCCACTCCCCCAAGTCGCCGCCTGCGAGACGGGTCCAAGGCTCACTGGTGCCACGGTGAGAGGCAGCTAAGGTCGTGCCAACTATGGAATTTACCCCTTTGATTTGGCACACACTTGAAGAATGAAATGGATTTGGAGACATTGTCAACTGTTCGCCTTTGAATATACCAACAGTTTGCGTTTGAAAGACAGTGTATATTCATGTGGGGTGAACTGATGCCGTCGATGTCAATCGAAGAACAAATAACAGTTTACAATATACTATATTTGCTGGATTCCTCTGACACGGTGGAGAAAAAGGGCCCTCGCTGGGCCATGGGGATAAGAGGGCACATGTTTTGACGGTTCATTTTCAAACGCACCTTTTTTCTGCTGGGCATCTGGGTTTCTGGCTGAAAACTGCTAGTCCACCAGCTGGCTGCTGGTCTGTCAACATCAAGAATGCCACAACGAGATTCCCTTTTCATGCTCATTTTGAGGCACAAAACGCCACGCAACAGTAAACATAGAGAGCCCGTTGAAAGTTTGGAGTGAACAAGTGAGTTCTCGACAGTTCTAGACCCCCAAGAGGGGTCACCAGTTGTCAACTCTTCTGAGGTTCTGGCTCAGAGTACGAGGGCCATTGCCCTCGAACCTTCCCGGTTGCTTGCAATTCCTGCAAGGAGCCCAGACCTCCCGTGACCTTCGGTCGTTTGGTGGTGGACCTTTCAGTCTAGGTCCTCCGATAGACAAAGCCCCTTCATAAAAGTTGAACGGAGGGCACTCCGCTGGAGGCCAGCTGGCGTTTTTTTCGATTCAGCGCTGCGTCCTGCCTAGCGCATCATCATCCCGAGACATCTCCCCTGCGGCAAAAGGCGGCGCTGATAGCACGCCCTAAGGCCGACCCCCAAAAAAAAACTAGAGGATGATTGGCCCGAAAGCATTTTTCCCCAAGCGCTCTTCCAGCCACGGAGACACCTTTTTACATCGATGCGGCGAGCGTGTCTGCACGCGGCGATGCTCAATTTGTATGGTCACATGAGAGCTCCATCTCATCGTCCTAAAGCTGCATTGTTCCAGGCTGCTGCGCACAAGTTGCTCTCTGCAAGCTGCTGCACGCAAGTGGCTCGACATCTGTCTGCAAGCTGTTCTGCGCACGTTGCCCTGGCAAGTTTCTCTCCGCAAGACGCTCGGCGCTTGTATCTGTGCGCAAGATGCTCAGCCTGGAGGTGCTCCGCGCACTATACGTCTGCGCTTCAGGGTTGCGATTTTCCGGTCGGCTTCTTTGCTTGAGCCGGAGCTGCCGCGGACCAGGGCGGAATCGAACCCGCGACCGCGCGATTGTCGAAAGCAGGCGCGCAAACCACGAGACAACTTCCAACGGCCGTTTCGTGAGTAATAAAATCGCACGGCGCCACAGCGAGAGCGCTTCTCCGCAGAGGGCTCGCCGAGACTAAAACGAATTCGCACGGCGCCACTGCGAGAGCGCGTCGACACGCGATCCCCGCAGATTCATCCGCGCGCCGCAAAAACGCAAAAAACAACTCGACCACCGATCCCCGCAGAGGGTTGCGCGGGCAGATCAGAAGTCGAAAAAATCCTTGAGGTCAGCAGGCCAATCAGCTCTCGCCGCGGCCAAAGCTATGCGCCGGTCTGGTCGGCCACACTGCAGCCTATAACAGCACGTGGAGTTCAACTGCATGACGCCCAAGACGGTGCTGCTCAGGGGGGCAGCGTAAACGCGCACTCGCGGGAGTCAACCGCAGCCGAGCTGGGCCAGGAAGGGGGAGCGGTTAGCGGCATCCCCGCAGGGGTTCATCCGCGCACCAACCTGGAGCATTTGCACCTCGACCACGCCGATCCCCGCAGAGGGTCGCGCGGGCACTGCAAGAATCGCAAAAAACCTCGAGTTTTTGTACCTCGACCGCGCCGATCCCCGCAGAGGGTCGCGCGGGCAGATCAGAAATCGCAAAAAACCTCGAGCTTGCGCACCGCAAGAACGCAAAAAACCTCGAGTTTTTGTACCTCGACCACGCCGATCCCCGCAGAGGGTCGCGCGGGCAGATCAGAAATCACAAAAAAAAGAAGATTTTTGCGCCTCAACCACGCCGCGCAGAGGGTCGCAATCCCGATCGACGATCAAAGTCCTGCCCCGGCGCCCTAGAAAGCTAAACTTAACTTACATAGCTGCTGACGCCGAAGCGCTATGCACTTGGCTCTATGCGCTTGGCTCTATGCACTTGGCTCTATGCACTTGGCTCTATGCACTCCGGCTCATGCACTTGGCTCCATGCACTTGGCTCTATGTGTTTGACTCTGCGCAAGTGACTCTATGCAAGTTGGTCCGAGAGCTCCGTGCGGAAGAACCCTTCGCAATGCTTCCGGGGGAAAAAAGAGAAAAACATCAACTACAAATGACAGTTCCTTCCTTCGAGAGGCAAGGATGGCGTGCATACAGAGGCTCTTCTGGACGAGCCCATGGTCAAATGGTCGCCTGAAAAGGGAACCAAGGAGAAACCCTTCCGGTGAGGCTTCCGGCTTCACAAAACTTTGGACATAGCGACCAGCTTCATGGAGTTTATTATGTTTGAAAATACTCGTATTAAAAAGATTGACTGCGTGTGTCACCCAGTCGCCTGTACATGCAGCTGCGTGAGTGAGCCCTAGATTGCCAAGACTCTCTAGCAACGCACCAATGTGAACACACCTTCAGCCGCTTGAGGGCCCATGAGCCATATGTCTGGAAACCTCGTACCTCCTTTGCCCGTTGTGGCGTTGCTTAACACGACGCACATTATTCAAATTCAGCCAGGCAGAGTGCTGCTTATCACTGGTGGAAGTGGACTGGAGATTTAGGAAGACCAAAAACATTTTAGGAAGGTCTCCCGTCCACTTCCAGCATTTGTCAGACCGGGCCAACAATAGAAGTTCAACCTTGCCTTTGCTGCGCGTTCCATATATTCCAAAAAATACAAGAGCCCAAACAGTTGTTGGACAACGGGTACTCGCTTCACCAAAAGTGCGACACATCTGATTGAAGGTCTACAGCTTGTCGTGCCACAAAAACCACCGAGCAGCGCCCAATGCCTGATTTGGGGTTCTACCCGTGTGATGATAAACAAAAAAAAAGCACAACTACCTGAAACCAAGATGCCCAATAGGAATGATGGCCAAAAAGATGGCTTGACCAACATGGCCACAAGATGATAGCTCCAGGAAAATGCAACCGCCAGTGGTCAATACTCAAGCACTCGCTGCTGTGTCTATCGGCACGCCTGAGCTCAAGTGAACCTCGGCTGACGGCTTTCTCGAGACCTTCGGGATATTCTTGAAGGGTGGGGCGGGGCGGGGCGGGGCGGGGCGGGGTGGGGCGGGGGGGTGGGGTGGGGTGGGGCGGGGTGGGGAGGTGGGGTGGGGGGTGGGTGGGGGGGTGGGTGTGGGTGTTGGGTGGGTGGGGTTGGGTGAGACGCCGCTGTAGCCGCGACATGCTCTGCAACTTATAACCGCGACAAGGAAACTCAGAACCATGACAAGAAAAAATAGCCACGATAAGAAATGCAAACTCCACGCCTGCTTGTCCTAGCTCAAGTCTACTTCGCACACTCATGCGAAGACCTTTTTCCCGCCACACACACTGCCTATGGGGGACCCACTTGCTTGAGACAGTCTAAAACACAGGCCTTTTGTGGTCATTCGCACAAAAAAACAATAACCAGTCCTTCGAGTGGCCCCCGTTGCCAGGGCTGGCTCCGCCCCTCCTCCTCCCGCCCGCGCGTGGAGGGGCCCCCGTTGCCAGGGTTGGCTCCGTCGGGGGAGCTTGTGTGACAAAGTGCTCACGATTGCGCGGCCACAGCTGGTTTGTCTTCCGGATTTGGAATGCCGCATTTTCAAAGGCAATTTGAACTCCTTTGTTACCCTTGCACATTCGATGCCCAACTTCTGCGGCCTGATGCTAGGGAAGAAGGCTTGGAACAACACACGCCTCCGGCTCACAACAATTTCCGGGGCTTTGCTGAAGCGCTGGGGCACGTGCGGGTGAGGACCGTGGCTGGACGCGAGGTCCAGCAGTCGGGAAGGGAGCTGGCCCTGGAACCCAGAGTGTCCGCAGCCTGCTGGGTTGGGCTGCGCACATGTTCATGCTCTTTTGCAAACTGCCGGTCTTGCAAGACTGTGTCAGCGTGCAAATGTGGTTCCACGCGTCGGAGACGCTGCGAGCTTGCTTGGATCTGGCCTCACCACCGCCTATACCGTCAACCGCGAATGTTGCTGTGAACATTTGACTGCGCGCAACGAATGTTCACCACAAAGCAGGCAAAATCTGCGCGCGCCTTATGTTCACCACAAAGCAGGCAAAATCTGCGCGCACCTTATGTCCAGCACAGGTTTCAAGTTTTTACATTTTGAGCCCAAAATGAAGCTCTGCCACTGAAGATTCCACGAACATCAACCACAGCACAATTTCATTCAATGTAAGGTTTAGGACATTTTCAGTTTTTCATCACATGTTTCAAGTTTTTGTCATTTTTTGGTTGGCTTGGCGGAATATGAGCTCAAAATGAAGCTCTGCCGCTGAAAATTCCACGAAACTACATCAACAACAGCAAGAATTCATTCAATGTAAGAATTAGGACATTTTCAGTTTTTTTATCACATGTTTCAAGTGGGTTTTTTTATATAACATTTTTTGGTTGGCTTGGCGGAATATGAGCCCAAAATGAAGCTCTGCCACTGAAAATTCCACAGCAAGAATTCATTCAATGTAAGAATTTGGGCATTCGACTTAGGACATTTTCACGTTTTTTAATCACAGGTTTCAAGTCTTTTTTTTTACATTTTTTGGTTGGCTTGGCGGAATATGAGCCCAAAATGAAGCTCTGCCACTGAAAATTCCACGAAACTACATCGACCACAGCAAGAATTCATTCAATGTAAGAATTTGGGCGTTAGATTTGGGACATGTTCAGCCTTTTTTTAATCACAGGTTTCAAATCTTTTTTTTTTTTTTAATTTTTTGGTTGGCTTGGCGGAATATAGGACCAAAAAATTGCACTCTGAGTAGAATGGTGCAAGAGACAAACCCTCATCTTCCAAACGTAGTTGCTTTGTGCCACCTTGATGCCATGCCACCTTGATGCCATTATCAGTCATCCACGCAGTACGTTGCTTTGCCTGGATGCCAGCTCGAAAAAACATGAGTGTGACAACCCCTACGGCTTCCATGATCTGACCCAAGACTTGGTAATCAAAAGGCACATGTGTAAATATATACATATGTATATATGTACACGTCCGATCAACACACTCTTGATCCAACAGAGCTTTCAAAATTGTTTCTAAGTGTTTGTCCAACTATAAAAAGATATATATATATACAAAACCCATTGCAATTCGGGCAAGCGGCCCTCCCACGATAACTGCCGAACTCGCTGGCTACCTTGTTGGCCTCCTTCAAGTAAGCTTTTGCCGCCTCTAGACAAAACTCGTGGTTGGGGTAGTCTGCCAAGAGGAACTTGCGACCAACGGCGTCCAATCGTGCTTAACCACCAAACGCACAGTGGGCCGAGGAGACTGAGGCGGCGCTGCCATACCTGCTTTCATGTCAACACTGACATCGACACTGATCTTGAGTCATGCCTCCCCATGATGCCCCGAAAGGGAAAACACTGGGGCCACCATGAGCAACAGCAAAAAACTTGCGCCTGCTTGTCTTAAAAGAGCGCGTCAGGAAGTCAACTTGCACTGTTCTCTGGAAATCACTCCGCCGGGCTCTGGCCAAAATAGCCAGGAGAAAAGTCCCAGCAGCCAGCCTCCCGGTGGCACTCTACTTGGTAGATCATCCGCCAAGCCTGTCGCATTCCCGCCGTCCTCAAACGTACACTTTTAATTTAGTGCTCTCTCAAGCCAGTGCTTCACTGAGGCATATAGGATCACTCACGACCTCAAAAATGTTCATGTCTAGAAGCACCGGTTGAGACACTGTAGGGGCCCGGGCGATGAGTGAGATGGAAACGTAGTCGGAGCTTACCAGCATGCCATCCGCCTTGACGAGCTAGAGGCTTGACGAAAAGGGGCGGTACTCGGAGAAAAGAACAGACATCACCTGAGAGTGTAGCGGCATTCCAAGACTTGCGACGCGGCTTGACTTGAAGCCTAAGGCTCGGACTGAATGCACGAAATCTTTTGTGTATCTCAGAGCCGAAAGCTTCATACACAGCAAACTCCTAGGGCAAAAACGGTTCTTCTTGGCAAAAACAACCACTAAAGAGCTAGCGAGCTGCTAGCCACGCACCGCCATTTGCTTCCAAGCCACTTGATTGCTAGCCGCTGCTTCCCAGGCAACGGGTGTCTCCCATCCACTGTCCTTACCTATATAAGGAGCCTCGCGGCTCAGAAATAGGTTTCTGCACAGATTGCCATGCTTGCTCCTAGCCACTTGAACTCTAGCCAGTTGATTCCTAGCCACTTGATTCCTAGCCACTTGATTCGTAGTCGCTTGATTCCCCGGCCACGGGTCTCCCATACACTGTCCTTACCTATAAAAGAAACGTCACGGCTCAGAATTAGGTTTCTACACAGATTCCAAGTTTCACTTGATTCGTGGCCGCTTGATACCCAGGCCGGGTGTCTCCCATCCACTGCCCTTACCTATATAAGGAGCCTCGCGGCTCAGAATTAGGTTTCTACACAGATTGCCACGCTTGCTTCCTGGCCACTTGGTTCCAAGCCACTTGAATTCCAGCCATTTGATTCGTAGCCGCTTGATTCCCAGGGTGGGTGGGTGGGTGGGCGGGCGGGCGGGCGGGCGGGTGGGTGGTCAGTGTCTATCTTTTTGGGGTGTACTTCATGCTGGATTGAACGGGAAACCAAAAGGAACCCACCCTTTTGGAGCCTGGTTCAGCCGGACATGTGAGCCACAAGAACCTAAAGCCGATATCCGAGAGACTCACTGCGTGAAATGTCAAAACGGGATTCCAATTGCACTAATTACTGCACTGGGGAAGTGCGACACTGTGATTCAAGGACTGCTGATGCTCCATCTGCCACTGACGAACCTGAGCCATGTGCATTGCGCACACAGACAGACAGGTGCGTAAAGATCCTGGCCCAATGGAAGGAAGCGTGGCTGTAGAGATTGCTCATTTTGCAGGAGACGGGTGACGTTCGTGCTCCAACATCTTTTTACTTGGAGTTGAGGGCTAGCCGTGGGCCCTTCAGGTACGGTCAGACACCCAGGATTCCAATGAAAGGGACCATCGGGGCCAATGCAATGGCGCCATTGAGAACTGATGTTTGGTGATACCGGGTGAGTTCCCGATGCTTCCTGGTTCGACAGGCTTCCGGTGTGCCCTTCGAACATCACCGCATCACCCCACTAAAAGGCAACTTGTTTGGGGGGCTTCTCAACATACACATCCCCAAACCAAACGTGGTCCACCTTTGTGAGAATGTCCGATTCAGAATGACCCGACATGAAATATAAGGACCACGCCGTGCCAGCAGGCTGGCGTAAGGTGCTGCGTGTGTAGGGCTTGGAGTTGGGGTGGTTTAGGGGTGGTTAAGGTGGGGTCCATGTGGTGCAGTTGCATTTTGCTTGGGTCAAGGTGGGAGTGGATATCCTCCAGCACACGTCTTGCAGTTTGGTTGAAACTGCGCTATGATGCTGCATGTTTTAACTTCATTTTTTGCTTTTTTTGCCTGCCGGTCCCTGATTGATACGCCCCCACTTGTCATTAAGAGGTCTCCTTTTTAGCGGGGATTTATTTCTTTCATGGGGACCTCCTGATCGAGAACCGGTGGGGGGGGGGGGGGGGACAATATCAAGCAGGGGTGGACAGGAGTAGGGGTGTTGGTTTTGGGGTTGTCTGGGCCCCAGGCAGCAAGGCGGCGACACACGCGCAGGGCAGAGATGGAGTGGCCCCCAAGCTC